ATCAGAATGATTAGTTCTCGGATTTGGCTATTGTCAATCGACTGCTTAAAGCAGTCTGTCTCGGGGCACCGACCGAAGTGTCACGGGGGACATCGCGCTTCCGTGCTTCCTGTTGATAGTTTTTCTTGCCGTGTTTCGCTACGGTATAGCAAGTTCTCGATTCGTACAGTTCTCGCGTTGTTCTCGCGAAATCCAGGCAATTCTATGAATTCCTGTGAGTGTTCCGGAGGTGTAGTGCTGTGTGTTGGTGCAGTGTCCACCAGAGTGTCCTTGGGATGCAGTTGACGGCCTCCACGGATTAGCTGCCCCAGCTCCGGTGAGTCTCCCAATTTATTAATTGGTGAAGGGATCTCGATAGATAGTTAAGATTCGTCCTGATACGTTCCCGTTCGTGTATCCAGTTGCGTTTGCTGATTTTACGCGTCCCCAAGAATCGACAGGACCCGTTAAGCTGTCGCCTCGTCCGATAGGTTCCGTCAGAGCTCTCGTTCTTGGTGGAGTTGGGCCTGTTCCACCCCAACTGCCAGTTTATACCGGCTCGTCAGTTCCCGGTGAAAAAAGAATTGGCTGGCGGCCGCCTGGCTTGCGGATGCACGAACGACGAGTGGACGGCCGAAGGTAACGTCGGTTGGTTCTCGAAGATAGTTCGTTCTCGTATGTTTTGCTATCGGTGTCGGGTCATAAGTTAAAGAATTACGTTAAAAACTTTATAGACAGCTGACGGCGCGGGGATTAATTTGTCCTGGTTATAAAAGAAGAGAAAATTCAGTGATCGTGCCTCGCTCGAGCTTTAATAGGAAAATAATTATTCTGGAAAGCCCTTTCAGGGTACAGAAACAACGATGGTCCAAGGTAGCAGGTATCCCGTGAGTATACCAGACGGAAGGTGGAAGGTCAGAGTTCCCAGGTTCCCAGACTTCCTTCCTATTATCCTTGCTTGCCGACCCGTTGACTCGACATGCATACAAAACAGTATTTATGGCTCGACTCTGGAGGGTGAAGTTGTAGGGGTAACTTTTGAAAAATATTCATCGACTATTAATAGTGAAACGACGTTACGCCTCGTATCTAATAATAATTTGGTAAATCCTGAAATTCGGTAGAAGAAGCCATCATCGTTCTCGGATGTACTTTCGGGATGATTGGAATATGATTGGGCGTATTCCCAGTCGAGAGGGGTCGCTTTGAGATAAATGGCAAATGGATTAGGGATGATAGGTAACGCTCGAAGGGAAAATAGAATATTCCTGAAAAAGTGAATAACTCTATAACCTGCTGTGTATAACGTACCCATAAGGGTGGATTGATGGTTTTTCCATCGCTCAGAAGGTAAGGGTGGTCTTAGCTGCACAGAAAAGAATTTTCCGTTTGCTTTGGCCGCCGAGTAAAATTTACATGTGGAAGTAGGAAATAGAGAAATAAAAAATGAAAAAGGAGTAAAGAACGTCCGGGTATCGGAGTAGTCCGTCTGGAAGGTATAGAACACGTGGGTAAATGCTACCCCTATATAGAAGTACGTAGTAGTCGAAGCAGGCACGACGCTCAGCATCGCGGCGACCAGCTTCGATCCGATGCCGACTCCTTTCCGTTCAGATGGCCAGAGCGAAACAGGTGAACCGAGAGGAACGTGGAAAGACCTGCGGGAGGGTTTCTGTATATCTGTATATATACGTTCAGGGGGTGGCTGAGCTTGCAAAGAAAAGGTCTCACCGCCCGGCGATCCCCGGCACGAAGTGCACCCCTAACTAGCGTCGTAGGAAACGACCCTAAAAACCGCTCTAGCGTATTGCAATCATCACACTCATTATCGCCTGCTAAGGTGACTACCCCGGTCCAACCCTTTGCGACCTTTTCCATATTCTCTATTTCGATCATTTATTTTCAAGCTCCCTTTGCCATTCCCAGTGTCTCGAATTCACTGGCAGGCCCTAGATATACGTGAGTACGTATACTGTGTATACATATGTTTCCTTTGCAGATTCGGTTTCCGGGGTAAAAGTTCAGCTGAAATCGCGTGACCTGGAACACGTTAAAGGGTCGGTACGTTTGACTGCGGAGGGTTCTCGAAATGCCCGGCTGGCTGACTGGCGGGCCGAGTTCCTCGTTCGTCGCGTTTCCCTACCCGAAAGGCCCCTCGTTAGCGTGCGTCCTCGAAATTAAAGCGAGTAGCCCGCGCAACGTGTTTCAAGAGGGGTTGTAAAAAAAATGGGGACGATGGCTAGGCCAAGGATAAAGATCGGAAGGGTTAGCTGGATGCGACCAAGCGCGATGCAATTAGCGCGAGAAAATACGGATGCTCGTTTCATCCTCCAGGCACTTTATACGGACAGACGCGGAACGGAACTAAAAGTCGCCAGGAAATTTCGCAGAGGGACCATTACGCGACGATCGCCCTTAAACAGTTGAGCCGGCGGCGAAACGCTTAACGGAATTCTTCTTCTTTTTTTTTTTTTTTTTTTCCCTTTATAATTTTCATGTAAAGCAGAAAAGATACGTGAATTAAAAACTTTTCCTCCCTCGCGCACTTAACGGTTGCGACGAAAGATTATTAAATTGCTACGGCAATAATCGGCAAAACCATTTTTATTATAAAATATAATAATACGTAACATTTATATCGCCCAATCTTTCGACTTATTTACACAACCAGCTATTTATGGGTTATTATACACAATTTAGGTTATTATCCTCGTATCTTCTCAGTTGCCGTCATTAGCTCCCGTTAGACACCGGCGTTCCTCGTCAAGACCTCACTTGACATACATAGATATCTTTAAGCAAATCCGACTATGCAGATTTTCATCGCGAACCCATCCGCATGCCCCATTTACATCCTCTTAGCACCACGTTATAAATATCTTCCTTAATATTCTCAACTTACACACGTATCGTACACGATGACGTCTGGAGCGAAGACTGAGTCTTTTGTTTTTAAATCTTTTCAGTGACTTATCTCTTTTACTTAAATCAACGCAATCCATCACGCGCGTGCACGGACACACGTCCATGAACGTCGTACAGCTTCACCCGCCAATCTCTCACGATTATTACCGCTGTTTAGTCTCATGCTACACAGGAGTCACGTTTAAGAGGAATTAGTAGACCGACAGCGATCGATTGACGCCTCAATTAATTGTAATGTCAAAGTGCATCGGCACACATGAGAGGTTTGACGAATAGTCGACATAGTTAATCATCCAGTAAGGGCTACTCGAAATTTCAATGATAATTCGTGAGAGTCCTTGGAGAATGAAGAATACCAACCACCCTAAAGGATCAACAAACGGTGACGAAGGACAGGGTGGTTGTCTTGGGGGATGCATACGCGTGAATGGACTGCGAGTATCTCGATTGTCAAATGCGCAGAGGATCCGAGTGTGGATGCTGGGGCTTGTGTCGGGCGGCGCAAAAGCTGAGACCAAAGCAGAGCATCAGTAGAGCGACGGATCCTGCAAGAAGATGACTCGACCAGGAGACGGAACACTTTCCTGAAACAGATGGAGATAAAGAGAATTACATAATGGCCAGTCGATAGGAAGCAGGAAAGACTGGCGTTGAAACACGTCGAATGAAATATTCATTTCGCTTTTCATTTATTGTTATCGCACAAATTGTAACTGTCTAATCGGCTGTAGCGTTGTTTTGAGAAAAAAAAATTTTTTAAACCAAAAAACTAATATTATCGCAAGGATCACCGGCAATATTAAATAAGACATAATTCATTCGTGCTTCAACCGTCACCAGTCCTCCCCTATCGTATTTAAATTATCGTTGAGACATGCCCTGACGTGATTTGATCTATATCCAGAAAGCACCATGAACCTGAGAAATTTATTACTGGGGTTCGAAGTCGAAGCTTTTAGGCTCCCAAAGCTCCTCGGAGCTTACTGCGTGCGGTAGACAGAGAAAGATTCTCGATAAGCTCCAGTTAGCCGAGAAATCATCGGGTCCGGTCCTCTATAAATTCAAAGACCTAACGGGTGGCTGCCCTTTGGATTCAGCGAGCCATAAATTGTCAGGTCAGCTAATTTCCTAGGATGGATATGCACATTAGGGCCCGGTACAATTCACGAATAGATTCTCGGGCGCGACCCATCGAGAGCCAGGATGAACCAGGCGCGACCCACATGCATTACGGTTCCCGTGGGTTTTCCAGTCTGGAAAACTCGCGATCGTCCACTCTGCTACCATCGGAATTTCCGTCAGCAAGGCACCGTTAACGTCATCATACACGTTCGAGAAACTCGACCGTACGGGTCGGGCACTTTCCTGACGTATAAAATGGTCCTGACTCTGGGGAAATTCGTGAAAACTTCGACAGGACGCTCGCTCAACTCGTACGAGTTATACCTCCGGCCTTATAGATCCAGGTATACCCCCGCACGACCGGACACAATGGTAACGATAGTTTAGGGCGAATTCACAAAGTTGTAACTATCCTCACGCTATCGTCAGTGATAAATCTCACCGAGATTGTAGACGTTCGCAGACTTTCCACAGGATTCCCGCACCTCACGGTTGTCCCATCCGATCGGATACATAACCAATCCTCCACATATCATCACAGCTGCGAAGAACCATAGGAAAACATCCATTATTCAGTTTGCCGAGTTATACCCCAAGCAATTTTCCAGTAACGCAGAAACCATAAAGAACTCACCGGCTAGTAGCTGCAAGGAACCCAGGAGTCTGGTGTGCTTCGGGGTTCTCAGTACGTGGGGCAGGAAGGAGGAGGCTGCGGCAAGCAGGGTGAGTGTACCGATTACAGTCAAAGCCACGCCGATTCCCATAGTGACTGTACTGGCCTGCCACCATGCGCTGGGAATGTCCCAAAAGCTAAAAGACCAAGAATTAAGCTCGTATGCATAGACATCAGGAAGATCGACACACGTGTCACTGATCTAGACACCAGTTGCTTCCAGACTGGTCGGCGCTGGTGTATTTTTTATTTGTTCTCTCTCTCTCTCTCTCTCTCTCTCTCTCTATACTCCGTCCCCTTCGCTCTCCCTTTATATTCTCTCTTTATTACTTTGATGCCAACAAGAAACCGTTACGTTCTCTGATGCGAAAAGCAGAGATGCTTGTTCTGCTCGATCATGGACAGCAAAGGAGTCTCGAGTTACTTCGCTACGTGATATCCTCGAGACGTTATTAAGTCGGGCAACGAAGGAGGAGCTTTAATGAAGTATATCGAGTGTCCTGAGGGAGTTAACGCAAGTCGAGGAGTCGGATCGAGACTTACCTGGAATACCTGGCGCACTCGTAAACAATTTCTGGAGTGGCGTTGGGGGCTCGTATTCTTGGATAATTGCAGCGTCGGAACGAGCTGAAATATGCGTCGGCTTTCCCGAGTAATCTTCCCTGGAAAAAGAGGCAAAGGCTAAAAAAGCTTGTAGGTACGACCTTCTTTCCATGGACCCTTTACGGTTTGTTGATCCGTGGGTGGGGCAGATACGAGGGAGGATCCCACGAGCGACATCAATTATACGTCCTTTACTTTCTTTATCTTTTTTTTTTCTTATTCTACGTTTTTCAGTCTTTCTCCCTATCTATATATATATATATATATATATATATATATACACGTAGACACGTTTCGGGCAAGTTTTTCAGATTTCACGAAGATATCCCGAAGGAGCGATCGGAGGATAAAAATTGGCGAATAAAGAGATTCGCGGTAATGCGTAAGGACGTTGCTGCTGCTGTTTAATCGAAATTCGATAGAGGATCCTTCAGGATAGATCCTAGTATTCTACGAGTGGACTAGAGCATTTTGAAATTGGGTGAAAAGTTTGAAAAAGTTTTACGGAAAGGAGAGGGGTGGTGAAAGTACCGGTGAGAATGGAAAAACAGAAGTGGGGAACGGGAACCGTGAAGACGAAGCCGCGAGATGAGAGTTACAGGGCCGTTTTCCGGTTGCTGGGACAGATAAGGGAATTTCACGTGTCTGAAGGAGGAATCCTAGAGGGAAGAAGCGCGAGGTATATTCTATCTGGGGAAGGTCCTGAATACAGTCGAGTACCTAAGAATGGACGTTTATTCCAAGGATAAAACCGAGAGGCTCGCCGACTTTGCATGGCGAAACCAGGTCGTTACGGTTCTTATTTGAAAGCGAGGAACTGGATACGGTCTTAGAGTCTGAAAGCATAATTGAGTATTCCGCTGGTCCTTAATTTGCTAGTCGGCTAGCGAGAGAGAGATAGATGGTAAAAGAGAGCAAAGAGAATATACATAGTATAAAGAGTATATAGAGAGTAAGGAACTGGCAGAGGGAGAATTACTTGGAAGAACCGATGGGACCAGGATAATTTTAGAGGGTTCACCGAGGGAAACGACCTGTAGCCGGTAGCGCACTTTCGCATAATGGACCTCGCTTAATCGCACTGCCATTAATTAGCAGCATTACACGCGTCATTGGGGAAATACGATGGAATTCATAAACGGGATCAGGTTATTCTCGCATGAATCTACCGAGCAATTTCAGCGTTATGAAATTTCAATTCTTTTTGAATACCGCAAAATTGGCAGGAACGACTGAAAACCATTGGCAATACTCGGAGGGAGACGAATGGCCAGCTCGAGTCAGGACGGTACGATATTTACGTGTATAAATTTATATATATATATATATATATATATATATATATACACATAGGATAAACATAGTGGATACTAGCTACTAGATACCAGGTAGATTCATTCGGTCGAAGAATCCTCTTTCTCGGCGTAAGGAGCTTTCTCGCGTAGAAAATTCAACGAGTATTCCCTTACGATCTCCCTGGGGAGATTCAGAGCCGTCGAGAGGATTTAGAATGGGGGTAGCGTGTAAGGAGTGAAAAAAGTGAGAACAGGGGCAGAGGGGGGGGGTGGTGTGGTGTGTTCCTTGCAAGTTCGAAAAGGACATAGTCCTGTCGTTTTACATTATTTAGGAGTCCCGGGGAGCTTTTCTTTTTGAGATTGCTCGGGAATGGAACCAGTATAGGAGGCAATGTGGAAGAGGTATAAGGGGATCAAGTATAGAGAGAGAGGGAGAGGAGCTTTCAAGTACTGGAGGTCCGACTGCGAAGCTTCCAAGGAGAATTAAGGGTAGACGAGACGAAAAGCATCGGAGTAGGGGAATGAGGACGGTGGCCAAGGAATGTACCTAATAAAATTCAAACGTCGCTCCCCTCGAAAGGCGCTGAAAGCTTTGCAACCCTGCCCCCCTTTTTGCCCCTATTCTTCATCCCTTTACAAGCGCCAGCACTCACTAGACGCGCTGACACGTACGCCAGTGCCTGTACTCATTGCGACAGTATCCTCAAAAAGGGTTGGACGCTTGAAGGTGGAAGTTTTACCTGGATCCAGTAGGGCAGATAGAAGCCTGAACAGGCTAGGATCGATGCCACAGTGGACAAAGTCGCCCAGAGGATGCACAGCACTGTCATCTCATCTGACAAGACGCGAACTATGAGTCGGACTATCCTTTTAGAATAGCATGAATTTCTCGCAATGTAGAAATGATTATCATGACACTGATAAGAGGCACACTCTACGTGGAGATTTTAAGAGATGATTTTTAGAGATGCGTTTAGTCATGGTACGATAACCATCACTGTCACCTTCTATTCATCCTATTAATACTTTTACGATAATAAATAATCGATATCCTGATTATGAAATGCCTTCTGATTAGCTTGCTCTCAATTTGCTAGGATCCACGAGGATAATGGCATCCGACTTTTAAGTAGATTTCGTACTGTGATTGAATTCCTGTCGATTAATTTCACTTCGTCTTCTTCACGCCATTATCAATTCATCGTCGAATCGTTCACTGGTTCACGTTGATACATTTACTTGACAATTTTTCACAATTTTCCACACAATATTTATAATTCAGTCTTGTCCTCAGGTTATTTTATTGGCGTACGTTATTTATGTCACTGGACACAGTCGCACTGCCGAATATTGTCCACACACCTTGTGCACGTTATCCCAACGGACAATTTCATGATTAACTTCGAAGATATTGCCTCGTTTGAATAAGAAGCCTGCTTTCCCGTTGTCTTGAAGATGAAATAGCGTGAAATGTTTATAAAAGTCACAGCATCCAATGTATATAGTAAACTCCAGGGAATCCAGTGCTGTCGGTGATACAACGTAGGCGGCCATACGTTTCTGCTGTGTTAATAATAGAAACGTAGCCAGCGCACGCAACGTTCTAGGACAAAGGGCCAAGGTTTTCCACTGGGCGCAAACGAGCTTATAATAAAGCTTACTGCCCGTGCCATATTTCTTTTATATTTTCACTGTTCCTTTTTATTCAAAACCGACTTCGTGGGAATGCACAAAGGACACGACGAGTGAGAACGAGACGGAGGCACATAAACACGCGCGACTCGGAATAACTAGGTTATGTACGTACAACTCCGTATAGACAGACAGATGTTTAAGGATTCTCCTGAACGATGTAACAGCGAATCCTTGTCCAGCGTTGATATCACGACCGTATGAAAGAGCCTGTATTCGTAGGCAAGAACAGTACTTTCAGTAAAGATACATTTTATTTGTACAAAGAGCGTCTTCGAATCCGAGTGACTCGGTAGTCAACGAGACTAACGTAGCGACAAAGTCTGGTTTAATAATAGAAACCCTCCTGTGCCTTACAGATCCCCCACTTAAGTAACGTGCATAGCGGCGTCATCTGTATCAACCCGAGGTTTGACTGTTGAACGACGAACACCGTGTAAACGTAGTTCCTTCTGTGCTTAATCAACGCGCAGGTATTACTCTTTACCTGGTACTTTTGTATAAACTATCGACAGAGGAATCCTGGTGACGTCAAAGTCCATGGGCGCGTGTTAGGAAGCACCCCGAGACGCATGGCGTCTCTTTGTATACGTGTGATTTAATAATAGACTGCTTGACGGGAAAGGAAGGGAACGTCGGGCTTTGAGCAAGGCGAGAATTCTGTCAGGAGATTAAAACTATAAAGGGGATTCGGGGGAACAGCAGGAAGCAGACAGAATAACAGAGGGAAATCAAGCGGCACGACTGTGCGCGTCGCGACGTCGGCCGTACGACTGAATCGGCGTCGGAGAGCGTCGAGGAACGTCGCGGAGAGCGTCCCCTGGCGTCTGCCTGCGGTATACCCGTCGAGCCATCTGGCAAACATACGTAGACGTATATATAGTGGCGGTCGACCGAGAAAACTGTATATAGAGGATTAATGTATACTATGCAGTCACTGCGCATGCGCACTGGATCACCATGAAGATTCCGACGATAGGCTATGTCCCTATACGAGTACCGGGCTCCCGTGTCCTATACGTGTGTCCTATCGCTCCTATAGTCTTCTACTCTTCTATCCTTGGCGTTTCTCACCCCAGAACCCATGGCGGATCGTCTCCCGACCTACCGCACGCAGACTGCCCTTGGAAATGCTCCCTCGACTCGACAAAGAAAATCCGGTGGATGCTTTTCGAATTCGCTTCCTCTATTGTAGAATTGAATAGGGAGTAGGAAAGAGTTAAATGGTGGAGAGCGGGTAAAGGGAAATGAAGTAAAGACGGAAGACGCTTGAAGCGTTGTGAAGGAGGAAATGGAGAAACGGAGAGAATAAATCCTCCAGTGTTTGTTGTTCGAGATGAAATTTTTGTGGGTTCCACGGAAACGAGTCTCCCCAGGATAATAAAGTTCCATTCCGCTTTAAATTCCATGGAGTTTTATTGCAAGGGCTGAGAGAAAAACTGGACCAAATCTCGTTTGGCTAAGCATATTTTCATGTGAACGCCGCAAACAGCAGCAGCAGCAGCACAAGCAATACCAGGATTCCTATTGACATTCGCACTATTGTCGAGATAAGCGAGCCCCTTTAGACTCTCTTTACACAATCCTTAGGTATCTGGGCCAAAGTGCGAAGAGCATCCCGACCAGGGTGTCCCTGGTAATAATCTGCAGTAGCGCGTTTCCATAACCGTAAAACTGATCTCTTCGACAGGCAACCATCCTGACAACCAACGAGCCAAACCACCCCCGTATCCTTCAATGTTCAAAGGGGGAGCCATTTCGGACGCAACCCTAAATCGATTACGTTCTCGATTTATTTTTATGGTATTGAGTCTCCGCTGAATAGGGATTCGGAAGCCGTCATGGTTCCCAGCCGTCCATTGGTTACGTCATGCTACCTATCCCATTTACAATGCTTCCTCCTTTCCTTTTACTCACAATTTTCTCATCCTTCTCTTTCCCTAATCCTAGAAAAAAAAAACTCGAATGAGAATCATCGTTAAATCTTAAAACCAATAAAATCCGGATTTTGTTTCAATATTCAAGCTCTTACAGGAAGAATAGTCCTTCGACAGGATACAGTGGCAGCCATGCTGTACAACAATCAGGTCATTCCACTTGTGGTCCAGTATCAGCAGTAACAGGACGTTCCTGATCAGACAGACAGATAGGTAGACAGATGAAAAAAAATAGATAAAACGAATGATATCGATGTGGACCAATTTTTTTTCGTACAAAAACTCAAGCCAACGCATTGCCAAGAGAATAATAGTTCCACTACGGAGAAGAATTCATTCCAGAACCGAGCGGACGTTTAATTACTTTTTTTTAAAAGGCCCGAGGAGAGTGGTCCAACCTGGACAGAAGAGAATCGATATACCTGGATAACTGCCCTTCCACTTTATAAGGCTCGTTGGTTTCGCTACTAACAACCTAGCCACTACCATATTCTACCCAATACTAGAAAATAGCTATAGTATACAGATAAACTCACTATACATAAAATCGACCAGTTTTCCAGCCACAACACAGACGCTGCATTCTAATGAGAACGTTTTCTCATCCCCCCCCCTCCCCCCAACCACCTCGATCATCTACCCACCGCCTGCCGTTCTGTAGTCGCTCTCCCTTTATTCATACCGCTCTCTCTTTCCCTCTTACATTTTCCCCGATTTACACTGTCTCTGTTTATCTTCATCCTAGAGCATTCTCTCATTCCCGTATTCTGTGTCGTATAGCCGCACGGTTTGCCACGAGCGATTTAATCAGAGCCCAATTACGCTCTACCTTTGCTATTCGCACTGGGCTTACGTTTGCGTCTTGCCAAGATTGGCATGGCAGAATGAGGCAAATGATGGCTTAGAGAAAGGACGAGTAAATGTGCAAACAGAGAAAGAGACAATGAAGCCAGAGTAAGTGCAGGGCAGAAGCATACTGGTGGATAATACGGGAACGGGAATAAAAGATGTAGTGGAATAAAAAAAGCCACACGAAGCACGAAGTGTTCTCTCGCAGATGAAGGACTAATAAAAATATTGTTTACGACGGCGCGAAGCGTTATCTCGCGCAATAAAGTGAAAAACCGTAGAAACGTCGACGTCGGCATCGTCCCTGCGTCGTCATCCTCCACCTCGTCGTTTCAGTGGCACAAGCTCTGAAATAAAGGGAAACGAGGGACGATTTGAAAGTTACCCGTAAACCCGTAGAAGCTAACTCGAAAACATCCTAGGACTATGAATATTTAATGAAATAGAGAGAATTTTACCAGTCTCTATGGTTTTCCTGGTCAACGTTTTCGGCTTTGCTCGTCAACGAACCTCGTTCAATGTTAATGGCAACCTTTAGTCCATTTTACCGAAAGTTCCTTATGCCACAGATTTTCTAGTATGCCACACTGTATTTTTAGTATCGCTTCACACTTCTTTTTATAACTTTTGAAAAAGCACAAACGACAGTTGTTCCTTTCAGTCTTCTATCGCACGACTAGTCGTAGGATTCGTCAGCTGATTCCTACTAATAGTGCCCGACTCTGCCGCTAGGTGGTGCTGATTGCTTAGTACGAAGCCAACGCGACAGAAATTAAACGACGATATTTACGAAAAAGAAATCGAAACAGAAGAAAGGACAATTACCAGGGAAGGTATAGTTATTTCACGCATATACCACGTTTTAATTTGTAGCGACGGCTGGTACGCTAAGAAATACGATGCCCGGCCACGTATAGTCGCCTAATGCACAGCCTCGTCTACACTGTACGAAAAGGGAAGAAAGAAAAGGAGTAAGAAGGATGGAGCTGTATAAGATATAGGCGGTAGGAGGGTTGACGGTAGGATCTTCCGGTTAAAGGTAGAGAGGAGATAGCAGCTAGAGGAGGTTATGTGTTTTAAAAGGTGGATTCCAGGCACGCTTTCAAAGCCGCTGGTTATTTTCCTGGCAAAATCACAAAAATCCTTTTGCAGGCGTGATGCCGCATACGCAATGTTACTCTTAGCGTAACTTGGATGAAGTCTGGGCGACTCTGATCGAGAGGATAAAAGATAGTATGGGCTATATGTAAGAGGGTATAAGGTGAAAGTAGGATACTCGTGGAAGGTTGAAGGCATATCGCTATTCCACTATACGGAGTGGATGTCCAGACTAAAAATCTTGGGCATCCTTCAATCTAGTATCCTGATAGGGTTCTCGACTTCTTCCGAGACCATCCCTTGGAGGAAAAAAAAAAAAAAGAATTGACGTCCTCCCTCCGCAGTCAGGTCGAGGGTGTTTGATCGACTTTCTTTCTCGACCCTTATTTTTTTTACTCATCACTCGAATACAACGCCAAAACGCTGCGTCAATTGACTTATGAAAGTAAAGTCAATTTTTATACAGTTCTTTCTGCCTACTCGAGTCCACCCTCTGACACTGTCGGCTACGTATTGAGATCCTGTAGTACCCTTACTAGGGTCGTCGAGTGTTGGCTGATCGTTCCTTCTGCTTTTCTTCCCTGTTTCTCTCCTTGTCTCGCCGTAAGGACGAAAAAAGATGAATTATATGCGGAATCAAAAATGCTGGTCACGACGGGAATTCAAAGGCATTGTCCTGTCGCCTGCTCCTCCCATTTCCACTTTCTCTACTCTCGACGCTACTGTAGAAGAGAAACATCCACCGAAGGAGAGAGAGAGAGAGAGAGAGAGAGAGAGAGAGAGAGAGAGGAAGGGAGAAGGAGCTAAGAGAAGTGTGATAGGTAAAGAAAAGAGAAGAAAGGAAGATCTTATGATTTGTAGCGGAGGAACGAGGTATTACCGTGTCCCTCCTTGATGGATGATCTTTCCTTTACTTTATACTCCTTTCTTTCTCTTTCATTCTCTTTGCCTTTTCGCATTTTCTTTTTCTACACTACCCTCACGAACACTTCTTCAAAACAACCGGAAAACCGGAGGTTACGCGTGTCCCAAGTATAGAGCTTCCTGCTTCCGATGCTTACCTAGTAACCAGCTTGAGAATTTCAATTCTGAGAGGTAGGAAGGACCGAGCGAGAGAGAAGCAAACATGAAAAGACGGAGCATAGAAATATAAAAAAAAATAAAAACAAAGTTGAGTCGTTTATAAAGAAGAAACAAAGAATCGGTTAGCAGGAGTCTCTTGGAATTCGCATAAAGGAATAGCCCCTCGAACGAAGTCAAAGTTCCCTCTACAGGATATATATATATATATATGTGTATATAGAGAGAAAAGAAGACTCCAGTCGAACAATGCAATTTGTCTTGACGTAAAATCTTACGAGACAAGAGTTAAACGTATCAAAAATAAAAGGTCCAGGTCTTAAAGATTTAACCAATAAGAATCAGTAAGCACAATAAGAAAAACAGCCCTATAGCCGCAGTGCCCCGTAATCCCCCCCAATGGACATAAAACTTCCCCGACTTCCAGTTAATCTCTAGACGGAGTCGAGATAATTAACGATCAATCGATCAATTAATTTTTCGAAGGTGACGGCAAGCCGGATTTGCCCCAGCCGAGCGGTTAGTTCGGCACGTGGGAGAAGGGTGGTTTATTAGGAAGCCCGAGGGGGTGGAAAATCTATGAGGGCCACTCTGAGGTGGGGTCACGTTGGGGGGTTGGTGGATGAAGATGAAGGGGTTGCGCAAGGGAATGTAGGAGACATGTTTAATGGTTGCCATCGATAATGTCGTCTGAGCTGGTCATGCTAGTAAGGGAGGGGGTGTAAGGAGGGGTCCTGGGTGGGTGGTTGTACTGTATATTGCCTATGGGGGGAATGAGCCAGGACTTAAACTTCGGGAAGGAATCAGCTAGAAGCCCCAGGACGAACCACGTGGCTGTAGCTAGCGAATTCAGGAAGCTGCCGGATGGTTGGTAGCAGCA